CATCCCTGTTTCCATCATCCTCCCTGTTTCCATCATCATCCTTGTCCCCGTTATCCCTCTATCCATCTCCCTGTCCCCATTATCCCTGTATCCATCATCCCTGTTTACATTCCCATCCCCATCCCTGTGACCTTCCCTGGCGTGGCAGGGCCGCCTAGTGGTGGGTGACAGCACTGTTGGTGACATCTCGGGGACATTTTTGTCCCCTTGCCTCTCACCATGTCACTGCAGTGGCACAGCCCCGTCGCTGCCAGATGTAGGGTGGGGACAGCTGTCCTGCTGCTCACAGTCATGGTGGTCCTGGCTGGTGTCCCCCTCGGTGTGGGTGGCCTGGGGCACCCCTGGCTTGGGGACTCCCTCCTGCTGGCCCCTGGTGATGCCTCTGAGCAGCCTCTTCTCTCTCCCCCCGCAGCGATGGCAGGACCTGAACGTCATCAGCAGCCTGTTGAAATCCTTCTTCCGGAAGCTTCCCGAGCCCCTGTTCACAGATGGTGAGTCCCTGCCTCCCCCGGGCCACCAGAGCCCCCCGAGTGGCCACTGGTGACCCTGTGCCAATGGCTGGCACCAGGCAGCCCCAGGACCATCCCTGTGTCAGGGACAGGCCCCCAAACCCAGACTGAGCCAGTGCCCACCCAAGGAGAGGGGCACAGACCCTCCCTCACCGAGGCCCCTGGACCAGCCCTGTCCCTTCAGTGCCCTATCCCAGTGGGATCAGCCCCTTCCCCAGGATGTCCAGCTGGTTCATCCAGAGGTCCCCAGCTCTGGGGGGGGGATGTCCTCTCCCCTCCACCCAGTTCTGACCCCCCCCACGTGCCACTTTCAGATAAATACAACGACTTTATTGAAGCCAACCGGATAGAAGACGCCAGCGAGAGGATGAGGACGCTGCGGAAGCTGGTAGGGAGATGGGGCAGGGGCTTCACAGCCCTGGTGCCCCTCCTTGGGGGCTGGTTGGGGTGGGAGGGGTGGTGGGGGGGGTGAGCAGAGGGGTGACCCGGTGCCTCCACCGCAGATCCGGGACCTGCCAGGTCACTACTACGAGACGCTCAAGTTCCTGGTGGGTCACCTGAAAACCATCGCTGACCACTCGGAGAAGAACAAGGTGCCAGACCCCAAACCCTGGGAATCTCCTGGGCCCCCCCTGCCCCACCTGCAGCCCCCTCAACTCAGGCTGAGCTGGCAGCACTAACCTGGCTCTGGTTGCAGATGGAGCCCCGAAACCTGGCGCTGGTGTTCGGCCCCACGCTGGTCCGGACGTCCGAGGACAACATGACCGACATGGTGACGCACATGCCCGACCGCTACAAGATCGTGGAGACCCTCATCCAGCACGTGAGTGGCACCAGCGGGTGGGTGGGCACCGCTCTGGCTGGAGGAGGGGGGTGATCAGCACCCCAGGCAGGGGGACGGGGCTCCCTGGCCATGCCGAGCTCCCCTCACTCCCAGCCGGGTTGTAACCCCGCTCCTGTCTCCCCCGCAGTCAGACTGGTTCTTCAGTGACAAGGAGGACAAGGGCGAGAAGGTGAGTCCTGTCCCCTCTGTGTGTAGGGGGGTCTCGCTGTGGGGCAGGGGGGGCACAGAGCCTTGGCTGGCTGTTGGCAGCCCCCCTGAGCGCCGTCCCCGCTCCCCTGGCAGACCCCCGTGGATGAGAAGGAGGCTCAGTCCGTGCCCAACATCGAGTACCTGCTCCCCAACATCGGCAGGACGGCGGCGCCCGGCGATGCCGCAGGTGAGCAGCGGTGCCCCGTGGCACAGTCCTGGCGCTGGGGCACCCCCGGGGTGCCCCTCTGGATGCTCTGTCCTCCCCGTGCCCACACCTCTGGGCAGCGGCAAACCCGCACACGGCACACCCGGCTGTGCTGGAGCGGGAGATCCCGGCGCCCTCCTCACTGGAAAACGGGAACACCCCCCCTGGGGATGCCAGACGAGCCCCCTCCCTGCCCTCTCCCGTCACTCTTCTCTCTGGTGGCTGCTCCTCATCCCTCCGTGGCACCCCGGCAGCGCCCACCCCGCGGGACCCCTGCCCGTGCCCGCGCTGCCAACCCCGACACCGGGAGACTTTGATGTTCGACTGATTTCTTACGTTCTTTCCTTGAACTTCTCTGTGCTGTCCTCTTCCTCCTCCTCCTCCTCTTCCTCCTCCAGCGGACCTCCTCGAGAGCTAGAGCGGGTACAGTTTGATCCTGGGTGCATTGATCCCGCACTAACCCCTCGGGCGACCACGAGAGAGCGGGAGCAGGGCGGGCAGAGGGAGGGGAGGGGGCCCTGTCCTGCCTGGCCGCTGTCCCCAGGGTCCCCAAATCCTTGAACTCTGTTATCCCACATCATTTGCTGGTGCTCACGGTGCCATTCCCTGGCAGGGCTGGGGGCTGGACATTCAAACTCTGGGATATGGGGGTCCCAAAGCCCCCGGGGAGGGTCAGCACCCCCTTCCTGCCTCCCCCTCTCTCGTTGTCAGCAGCTGTTTAACCCCATCCCGGGCATGTGGGGTGGGAGAGGGTGTCTGTGTCTTGTCTTTGTCCTTCACACCACGGCAGCGGTGCCAGGGCTGCCCGTCACCCCCGTGTCCCCTCTTACCCCCTAACCCCCAGGGGAGCCGGGACAACCCCATGGCCTGTCCCAACCCTCTCCAGCACAGCCCATTCCAGACCCTGCTCCAAGGCTGGATGTGCTATGGAGCCACCTCCCCGTGCTCCGTCCTGGTGACACGGCGGTGGCAGCGCCCTGTCCCTGTCCCCTCTGTGCCCCGTGGCCGTGGGAGGGTTGGGGTCCTGGCTCCGGGGTCCTGGCTGTACTTCCCAGCTGTGTGTGCCTCTGTGTGTCCCCCTTATCCCCACTCCTCACCTTGGGTTTGTGCAGTGGGTGAGCAATGCCAGGGACCCCCAGAACCCCCCCACGAGCCTCCTGGCACCTCCTGTACCCACTGGCACACCCCTGCCAGGGGCCAGCTGGTGTGACAGCCCCGTCACGTCCCCATTCTGGTCTGGGGGAACAGAGCAGCATCTGTGGCAGCCCCAGCATGTCCCCATCCTGGTCTGGGGGAACGGAGCAGCGTCCCCAGCTCTACCCCCCATCCCCCTCCCCAGCACACACCCCCCACCCCCGAGGCCTCACTGACCCCCCTCTCCCCTCTGCTTTCCAGGCTCGACCCGCAGCGGCTCCGCCAAACCGAAGGTGAGGGGGGTCCCGGGCTGGGGCTGATGGGGGGGGACACACAGTGGTGGGGACACTGAGCCCGTCCCCGTCCCCGCTGTCCCTCACCGTGGTGTCCCCGTCCCCCCAGGGCACGTGGCCGTCTCGCAAGGCGCCGCCGCACCGGGAGCTCCTCGCCATCCCCTTCGTCTCGGCCGCCGCCCGCAAGAGGAAGAAGAGGAGAGAGGCCGAGGGCGTCGGCAGCAGCAGCACCGACGACGACGCGGAGCGCAGGGACGCGCCGGGCCGGGACCAGGAGCGCCGGGGCACCGCGGCCGCCCCGCCGGGACCCGGCAAAACCCCCCGCGGGACCGGCCCCGAGCCGGCCAGGGCGGAGCGGGAGAGCTCCACGGATCCCGCGGCGGGATCCGGCTCCGAGCCGGCGCCGGACGCCCGCTCCATCGTGTCCGGCTACTCCACGCTGTCCACCATGGACCGCAGCCTGTGCTCCGAGGTGCAGTCGGTGGCCGGGAGCCGCGGGGAGGAGGCGGACGACGAGCGCAGCGAGCTCAGCCACATGGAGACGGACACGGAGAGCCGGGAGGGCGCCCGAGCCCGGCCGGGGCAGCCCGGGGGGGCCGGCGGTGATGAGGACAAGGGTCTCCTGGGCCGCCCCTCCTTCAACTCCCACCGCCTGATCCAGTGTGACACGCTGGCCCGCAGGAAGCTGGGCCGGCCGCGCCCCGCCGGGGATCCCCCCGCGCCCGCCGGGGAGGAGGAGCAGGGCTGGGCCCCCCCCGGGAGACCCTCGCTGCGGGAGCAGCTCCGGCAGCACCTGCGGGGCTCCGCCGACGACATGGGGGTGCTGGGGGTGCGGCTGCGCCGAGCCCACTCCCCCGAGACCCGCCGCAAGAAGAGCAGCTGGCGCCGGCACACCGTGGTGGTGCCCGGCGGCCTCAAAGACCTCAACTTCAACGAGTGGAAGGAGCCGCGGGGGCTGGAGGGACCCCCGGGCCCCCCCTGCCACGACAAGGACTCGGGGCTCAGCAGCCTGGAGTCCACCAAAGCCCGGCCCCCGGCCCCCGCCCCGGCACAGCCCGGCACCGCCAGAGAGGGGACGGGCACCAAGAGCCCCCCGGGCAGCCCCGGCCCCCCGGCCCCCCTGCGCTTCCCCCAGTGTCTCTGACCCCCCCCCGGTCCCTCCCCCAGCCAGTGTTTAATTTAAGGACTCGCCCTTGTTCTCGTATTTAATTGTGCTCTGGACGAGCTGCTGTTGTTTAACGCGTGGGGG